TTATAAAAATACTAAAAATATACCATCAATAAGGGTATGGCAGTAATTTGCACATACAATCAAACAAGGGTCAAAATCTTTTTCACCCCATTATAAATATATTCTTTCTTTTACACACCGCCCCATGAAATAACTTCTTTTACACTCCAAAACTCACGAAATGTTACGCGATATTACAGTCGCATGTCCAAATGAACCAGCGCATATCCAAGCGGACGCATAATTTATGACTTTGCGAAAACATTTCGCATTTTTGTAATCGCATATCCACATCAAACGCATAATTTACAAATATGCGAATATCTTTCGCAGTTTTAAGAATCGCATATCAAAATCGAATGCAGCATAATTTACGATGATTATGCGCCTTATTTCGCAGGGCTATATCGACCTTCCAAATTTATGACTGTGCGAAAATGTTTCGCATATCATTCGCATTATTTGTTGAATTCGCATTTTCTGGAAATTGCATATCCAAGTCAATCGCATAATATGGTATGCGAAAAACTTTCACATATTCCGCCGAATAATTGACAATGATGCGACATTTTTTCGCTCGCATATTGAAGAATCGCATAACAAAATCGAATAAAACATAATTTAATTGACGGTAACGCGCCATTTTTTCGCAGGGCCATATCGTCATGGAAATTTTACGACTATTCAGAATTTGATCGCATATCTGTCGCATAAGTTACGCACCTCATTAATTGACTGCTTTTTCACAGGTGAGGATTTTGTCTGTGCATTTATCATGCAGGCAAAAAAACAGTGATCTCTAACAATTCAACGTCTGCACCATTCTTCTCTACTGCAATTTTCTGTTTCTTTCATTTTAATTCCTTTTGTTGTTCACTTATTTGAATGGCTAGCACCCGTGTTAGAGTATGCGTGAGCTATAGTGGTACGTTTTCCGGGGGTTCATATCTTGGTGGAGTGACAGAGCTGATGAGAATAAATTACGGCCGACAAATGTATTCTGAAGTAGTTTCGCGTGTTCAAGCATTATTGAAGGCCGATCCTTGTAATTTTGAGTACTTATTGTGAGCAGTATTTGATGGAAGGGAACGAAAAGTAAAGATGAAAATTGAATCCAGTGAGGATATCTTAGAGCTGATTGAAGAACAAAAAACTCCCAACATTTACGTGGAGTTGGAGAAGCGAGTAAATGTAGGTGTTCCGGGGACGGCGCAACAAAGCTTCACGCAAATGATGGCGTCCCAAGGTGTATTTCCGAGTTCTTTTGGTGTTGGTAGTTCTGCATTTTCCCACGAGGCCCCATATTCACATCAAGCAGGCCCTAGTTCAGTTACACATACTGGATATCCTCGGGGCGCTGATGATCAAACCGCGGGTTGTTCGAACCAACCAGGTCATTCTCGTGACGATGACAATAATGATGACCAAACCAACACGCACAATGGAGACTCAGGCGACGAAGACAAAGAGATACATGAGAAGCAAATGTTCAAGCTTTTCAGGGCGTGGTATAGCGAGCATATTGAAGAGCTAAGATTAATCACCGACCATATTGAGGTTGAAAGTCTTGCATATATGAATCGAGGTAGCACCCGGCAATCCGACGTTGAGCCACGAATGTCGTCCCTTCCTATGCCGCCCACGACAACTGGATCAGATAGACAACCCATCCACTTACCCTCGAACAATATAGAATTATCTTTGGGGTCTGTCTTTCGAAAGAAGAGTTGATTTGTGCCATTCAACTGTATCACTTGCAACAAAAAG